CACGCACGCACGCACGCACGCACGCACGCACGCACGCACGCACGCACGCACGCACACACACACACACACCCTTGCTTACTTACTTACTTACTTACTTACTTACTTACTTACTTACTGACTTACTTACTTACTTATTTATTTGCTTAATTTTGTGTACTCCTCTGTGTGATTGACCTATTCCTAAACCACACTCCTAATTTCAGAGGTGAGGACGGGCAACCATCCGGCAGTACAGTGGGGCTCTATTCTTAGCCCCATGCCATAACAATGCCGAATGCACTTGCAGACAAGACTTGCCGAATCACTTGCAGTTGATCAGACCCAGTATCAGCCGTGGCATAGCCCTCTTCGTTGGGCATGCCCCCCCCTGCTGAAAGTTGCAAAGCAATCAAGATTCTCCAAGGGCCTATCCCTTGGTAACAGGGTCTTACACATGCACGACGCAGTGAATGCATAGTGCAACTGTGGTACCGGGGGAAAGATTCTGTCGCCAGCCGCCACCCGCCTCAGCGGATCCGCAACCACGTCAGAGCGCAGCACCCGGAGCTGGTGTCCACCCCACCAAGGCGTCTGCATCCGGTGGGTGACTGTATGGTCTACATCCTCCTCCTCCGGGGCATGTGCAGCATGGAGAGTGCAGTAGAAGTCGGGGCCGACACTCTGTGTCCTCGCTTTCGACGAAGCGATGCTGCAGGCCATTCCTTCATGATCGTATGCAGTCACACGAATAGCGGGTGCATGCGCTGTCCAAAGACGTGCCTGTTGCAGTACCGTTGAAGCTCCTGGCCATGCGGCTTCTCTCTTGGTTCCTTTGCCGGGCGACAGCCCTCCCTGGGCACTCCTGTCGCGCAATTCCTTTAGGTCGTTGCGCTTGCTCGAAGTCGACCTGTCAGCTGGGGGAGGCTGTTTGCCGTGCAATGCGGGTGTGGTGCCCGCGTTGCTCTCCTGGCCTGCGGAAAGTCGGTCAAGTCCGGTCGTAACGATTCTGGAAGTGAAGGCGGAGGGAACTTGGCATCGCTTTGCGTTGGCCGACCTGGAGCAAACTTTATCTCCCCGACGCTTATAAGAGCTCTGCTTCTGTTATGGTATTGCTTGCTCATGCTTGCTCCGGATTTCTCCGTGCTGAGGTTACGACGCGTCAATTCCCACAAGGCCGCTTCAGCTGCAAGATCCTGCGACATGGAGGCATGGCCGCTGCAAGTGCTTGCCAGTCGCAGCGCAATTTGTGAACGGCCCTTCGACTTCCAACATGAATGCAAAGCTGTAGGTTCCTGAGCTTGCCTCATGGACGCACCACATGCCTCACGTGAAAACGTGTCAAGTGCACGGGCACTCAGCACCAGTGTACAGGCCCACTTCTGGCCTCCGGCAGGAAGCGACCCCCCACGACACATCTCCTACGCAACACGAAGGCAATCTTTGCACCACAGGCCGAGTGAAGCGATGCCCGCAAACTCGAAAGACTCAAGGAAAAGGAAGAAGCTCAGACAGAAACACTCGCACTTCGGCAACCGCTCCAGATTCTTTCACCTGGAGGCCAAGGCCAAGGCGACAGAGACGAGACAGAGAGAGTTTCTCTGTTTCTCTGCACTTTGAAGGAGAAGGCCCCTCCCTCTCTCGCATAGGGGGCCTCGAAGCGCAGCTTCAGACCGTGCCTCCGACAGCCGAGGCACTCGAGGCGCTCGGAGTCGCTCTTTTCATGTTTAGAGCGAAGGTCCTCTTGTTGACACGAACGCTTGAGCGGCCTCCGGCAGTGATCCAGGAGGAGTCTACGCCCTTCCCCTTCTGGCTTCCCGAATTCAGGGGCCGCAGCAGCATCCAACCTGTGCAGAAAGAGAAAGAAACATGGGCCAACAACCCACTTTAAATCAAACGAGGCAGCCGCCCAGAACTCTTTGCCGTTTGCTCTTCCTTCTCCGATCCATCCAAGCGAAGGTGATCTTCATGCCTGCCACAGAACACGCAGAGGAGGGGCCGCCCCGAGCAGTGGGCCGAGGCCTCGGCCTTGGCCTCAGCAGCTCCGCTCGGCTTGGAACTTCGAAGTCCTCGGCCACGCCCTGCCCTGCGCCCCTTAGAGACTCGCAGTGATCCCCCCCCGTCCTTGGCAAAGACGGCCCAGGTCTCACCCAGGTCGCCACCTCTCTTCACCGGCATGCGCTTCTTGTGCTTGGAATGATGCATCTTCCGCATTATGGCATTGGTCATCATGCAAACCTGGTTCACTTCAAAGACTTTCGCTGCGGTGCCTGTGTCCAAGAGCACCGCTGCAATCATCGCCTTGTCACACAAGAAAGGGTGCGCTGTCCTGGGCCTTGCGGCGAGTGCCCATGTGCACATCTGTGCACCGTGAACATCCGTGAACTGTCTTTGACTGTGCCAGCTTCGCTGTTACAAACCCAGGTCTATCTGCGCACGCGGCCTCAGGTACACCTTACCAGCTTAGAAGCTTCCGCTGTCTGTGTCCCACGAGGCGTACCAGAGGCATGCAGCGAATTTCAAAACGGCTATCAACTGCTTGCAGATGACACTGCCGGGTGAGCACGCAGCCTCATGAAAGAGACTCGATGTGACATGTGACCTGCCCATCACACTGCACCAGCTTGAATCGAAATGATAAATTGTGTCTCATGCTTTATGTCTCTGACGAGACTGCGCTCAAGACTTCTGCTGCATAGTGCAGCAAGAAGTTCGTGAACCAAGCCAAGCCGTATGGCTTGTGACATCAGATCGACTAGGGAACCAAGCCGTATGGCTTGGTGTTAAATCAATGCTGCGCCACTGCTTGTGACAGCAGACCGACGACAACAAGACGAGAAAACGAGCGCTGATGTGCAGATCGACTAAACAAGTGCACGATTTGCAGCCATGTCAATATGACGCTCTGCTGCAAAGCCTCGTGCAAAGTGTCGCTACATGATGCAAGAGTCTCCGTGATGCAGGGCGGAGCCACCCGCATTCTCGGGAATTCTTTGGACTTCCGTGTTGCACCACAGGTAGGCAGCATCGTGACTTCGAGTTACACGCAGTGCCGCTGCGCTGGATAGGAGCAGGCATCAAGCAATGCCCATAGGTGAAAACATACCTAGGCTGGCAGACAGGATAACGGATATTTTGGATGCTTTCTTTGTTTGTCCCAAGCCAGAAAGCCCACAAGCCTCTGCTTGTATCGGTGGAGCCAATATTCCGAGAGCAGGAGGAAGAGTAGTAGTAAGTAGTATAAGAAGTAGTATAAGTAGAGGTGGTGGTGGTAGTAGTAGTAGTGGTAGTGGTAGTAGTAGTAGTAGTAGTAGTAGGAGGAGGAGGAGGAGGAGGTATTTGTGGTAAAGGCATGCGACATCATAAGACTACAAAATACGAGTTTTCGTCATCCAGTACTCAATGTCCGTGCTCCTTCTGGAAGCACAGTAGCTCAGTAGCTCAAACTCTCGATTCTCAGAGATGGATTTGAACATGGACACCAAGGTGGCACCCCTGCATGCGCGTAAGCAAGATTAGAGAAGCAAACTACTCTGCAGCTCTGCGCGCTGGTGCTGACAAGCATGAAGATGCAGCCGAGAAACTTTGAACACGATCCATTCCCTGCTGCAACGGTACAGTATGCTCAGTTCCAGGAACGGCTGCACTGCTAAATGCTGAACAGTTTTCAAAGTGCTCCGAAACCCTCGTGAATCGATGGGATGAAGTCTGCCACGGGGTAAGAACCCACCGCTACCCACGCAGAGGGGAGTGAAAGTATTCTACTCAGGTCTCATCCGGACCGGCCTACTACGGGCACTGCAGGCCTGACTCGCGCTCGCAGATTGAGAGTTCTCTTCTCGAGCTCGCAGCAGTGCTTCACCAAGTACGGCGATCGAGTCAGACGAGACAGATTGTCTGCTGCTAGGAGAAGGGACCTGAGAGTCTGAGAGTGTCTGCCATTTCCGGAAGATCAAAGCACCAGAAGTAGCCGTAGCCGCGAGAATTGAGGGCTTGCTCGAACCGGACAATCGGCAAACCTATAGAAAAAAAATCGAAATAATACTTGCTCACCGAAACGACCGAAAAGCCGAAGACTTTGCACACGCCGCCGAACTGAGGCCGCAACGCTGGAATCTGAGCTTGATCTGGAGAGCCGATCGGGAGGCATTGCCTCAGGATCCTCGTATTGTGACCCCACAACAAGGGCAGCCTGGTCTTAGTTTGGCATTTGGCCTCGTTTCTCGTTGTCTCATCTGGAATCCACCAGGCAGCAAAGGCAGCAACAGAGCTGGCCTCAGCTCATAGGAAACCCCGATCTGCCATCTTGTGAGTCCAATGTCTCGTTCTCAGGGGTGCCCCATCTTGGCCCGCACACTTTCCGTTCTCGCCTGCTCTCCCGTTCCCCCGCACAATCGCTGGAGGGGCTTCGGGACCCAGCCAGCCTTGTGCAGCCAAGTCTCCGCTGACACAGACAGAGACCGGGCTCTTTGAAGGAAGGGGCTCTCATACTGGTCAGATGCTGATGCAGTCTCGGGCATCTCCACAGTTTCCGAGCGACCGCCTCTCTCCTCCATCACCTGCCGGAGGCCCAGGCGTAGTGAACCAGGACGAAAGTCCGAGCAGGCACCCGCAACCCTTCTGAGAGGCGCACCGCTTCCAACCGCTGGGCAAAGAGCTCCAGGGATTCACGTTGCCACCGTCCAACCCTTCCTCGTCTGTCTCTTGAACGCCGGCCAGGAACTGACGTTTCGCACATTGCCTCAGGTCAAAAGCTTCCGGAGGTCTGCACGGCCTACCAAGCTCAAAAACAAAAGGCTTCTCTGTCACCATGGCCTTGGACGCAGATGCTTGCTTTGGCGATGACGCGCTGTACTCAACATGTCCTCTGTAGGTCAACCTGACTGACTCGGCGGAGGTTTGGCCGTCCTGGAGAGAAAGATGGTGCTGACCATGACTATCTCGGCCGGTGTCCCGGCCTCAAAAGTGTAGTACTCGCTCTCCGGCCTGCGGCAACGGCATGATGCATGGCGCCGAGAGGCCATGACCATGGGCAGTTCCCTTGCAGCCCACGCAAGCTGCAAGAAGCTGCAAGCCCTGCCTGTGCGGAGACGAGGGACGAAGGGTCAGCATCACAGCCTGGCGATGCTCATAGGAAACGGCCCCCTTTCGGCGAAGAGGGGTGCCCGACCTGAACGCGCCGGTCGAAGCGTCGGCCATGGCAGCTGGCCGGGCCGCTTAAAGGAGTCTTCCCGCTTGGGTCGCCATGTCCCGCTTACAAGGATGCTTCTGCTTGAGCTTTCGCTTTTCTAGCTGTGAGCCAGCAGAGAAGAGTTCCTGCCTATCGTTTGCGAGAGGATGAGAACGGCTCTCAAAGGGCCTCGTAGCCGTCCGCGACGCACTTGTGTCCAGGAGCCTCTCGAAGTCTCGAAGAGTCTCTGAGGAAATCAGAAGCACTGAAGGCGCGGCCAGTGCCTCCACATTCCTCACGCCGATGACATAGTCAGTCTCCACCTGTGTTTAAAATGCTATATCAAGTGCGCAGTGCCAGGTATGCTGGAAACACAGCCACACAGCCTCACTGGCCAGGACTTCATCGAACTGGCTCGGGAGGTGCACTCTCTGCGGCGAAGTTTGTCTGGGAAAGAACACCGATGCGAAACTCCGCACCTGGCAATATTGCTTCCCATGCTTTCCGCTCCGTAGAATGCCCTGTGGACCTCTCCGAACCGCCGGATCAGCTTTCGCGAAAGGTACTTGTTGCAGATGAAGGCCTGCAATGCCTGGGACCTTACAGGAGCTCTCTGGGTCCCTGGGCCATGCACTGGCGATGTTGGGAAGCTGGCAGCTGTCCCTCATCAAAGTCTGAACACACCTGGCACGGCTTGACGCAGATGGCTGAACCGTTCTGAAACCTCGAGCCTGCATGAGGTGGCAGCACACGCATACCTGCTCATGGCCACCCAAAGACAAGTCAGAAGCCTGCGACGAATACTGCGCAACTGCTGCGCCATGCTTCCCGGAAGGGCGCACCAGGAGCACTGCATCCCCTAAAAACTCCAGGCGCTGGAAGCCAACTGATCGTGCCCCAGTCGATGACGCGCGCAATGCTGCAAGAAGCTTGGGGTTGCCTTAGGTTCTCTTGCATACATTTTTTCCAGTGTTGCTGGGGTGTCTCTCTCTCTCTCTCTCTTCTCTCTCTCTCTCTCTCTTCTCT